TAAAACTGCAAACGGTAACCTCCTTATCTAGGGTGGAATCGTCTTTAAGTTAGCACAACGTTATAAAGACTGTCAATGAATTTGGGTCTCCGGTTCAAGTACTCTGCGCTTCACCTGAGGATATTGGTAAAAGAAAGAAAGAAAAAGATGGCGTGGGTTGGCTGGAGGGTGCGATTGCGGAGTAAATAGAAATAAATACACATTGCAAAGCCACAAATTGGGAAGAAAAGAAAAACTCTTTCTTTTGATGGTATAAAAAGCTAATTAAAAAGGGATAATTTACTGCACCGGAATTCAAGAAAAATTCAAACTTTGCCATATAAATGTAAATGATATCCTGTTGTTTGTTGGCACATTGTTCTTTCAACCCAGAGGGTGCTGCCTTTTCACAGCAAAAAAAAAAAAGTAATCTCTGAAATATATTAACACATTTATTGCTATTAATGTCCTCCTTAAGTGGCCTACACGTAGACACATTTTTCTAGCACATTTTGTTGGACCCAGACCTGTGCTGGTTTTCAACTTCTTTTACACATCGTGCTCATAGAATGTGCTCCTGGAGAAAAACTCACCACTGTGAAATTACTCTGAGCCCTGATTCATGTACAATAACTAAGCCACATTCCCTTTAGCTGCATTTAATGAGAACATAATTACCCCGCGCTTCGTTTTTCTTACCTGCCGCGAACTTAGATGTGTTGAAGAAAATATGTCTTAACCTTGACTGGGAAAACTTTTAAATGGAGAAAGTCATTACAGATGGCATTCACTTCTTGGTCTAATGCACAGTGGAGTGCACTTAAGTAGAAAGGGCGACACTTTCTTTCAAGTTTTTCAAAGGTAGTAGATGATCCTTTTTTAAAAATATGAATGTTTTAGATGCGAGTTCTCTTTATGTCGAGTCAACGGGTATAAAGGATGATATTTTTAACAGTTCGATTTGCGTGAACTATACTGTATGAACACTTTCCTAAGATGGAAACTGTACATATTCTAATGCACTGTTAATAACTCATATTTGGAAAATAGAAACTTTTTGCCCACTCTGTTTGGAAGATGTCATGTTCCACAATAAATCAATTCAATGATACATCGTGCACTCCTCAGAATGAATCATGAGGTCAAACTTGACATATCCCAGCAGTACAGTCTGGTAATTGATTGTAAACCTACACATTCCACATTAATATTAGTTAAGAAAAGGAGAATTTAACGAGGAATGAGATTGCTCTCATGTTTCTCTCACATATTCTCATGGATGTTGAGTATTAGGCAAACCAGGGTGCGGTGCCCATCAGCAGACATCTGAAAGTATACAGCTTCATTTTCTAAAGGGCTGTTTGAAAAAGTCTAAAAACCAAAAAATGCCACAGCGATTTGGGCCTGTTTGTTTGTGTTTGCTACAGCACCTTCGACCAGACATTTAAAAAACAGCTCATTCCACCCAGTAGCATGAATCCTGCTACGTGGAAGCGGATCTTTGTTTTAGATGATAGTAATTTACTCTTCTCGTGCCCCCTCTCAGCTTCACACCGCCAAGAATATAAAAAGATTTAAAAGAAAAAAAATATCCCTTTTATGATCGTATTTCTTGATCTCTAAGGTGTCAAACCTGATGTCGGTGTCAGATGCTGTGATGCAATGTAAACAGGCATGTGTGGAACTTACAGGAATATAATTACAGCAGAATTCCTATCAAATCTAACAGTTATCAATACAAATGCATGTTTATGTGTGTGTGTGCGTAACGTACAGCTTCTTCTGGTCTCTTTGCTGTAGCGATATTACATATCTTCCATATTAATTCTGCTATGAGTCTATAGCTCTCTTAGCAATGGCATAAAGGTTTGTGGCTCTTAGTCCACATCACAATTTACCAGTGCAGTGAACATTTTAAAAAACTGAAAACTTCACAGGTGGCGATTAAATGAAATTCCCATCGGCTATTTTGCATGCGGCGCCATGATAAGATCAAATATGTGCCAGACATTTGCATATTAGAGTTGTCGGTTTTGGTGAAAAAAACGCTGGCTTTGCATTTTTCATGAAGCATCGTTCTAACAGGAGAACCACTCACAAGCACTGATCATTTTTCCGCCCGGAAATAAACCCGATGGTTTTAACTTGAGTGAGTCATCGTGTTGATATAATCGCCGATGTAACAGCAGCTAAAAGTAAACAACTGTGAAGTTCAAGCTTGGCGTCAGTGGGAGTGCTTGTGACAATTCCATCCAGCAGGAAGGCCTCTCTCCTTCTGCTGTTCCACAATATTATCAGAGAATTAAAAAGAAAAGGAAAAAGGTTTTTGCCTTTGATGACTCCTTCCAAGATGGAAGAACTTGGCGAGGAGAAAGGAAGACGGTAAGCTGTCCCCTGTGTGATTAATTCAAACGAGATGAAGCATGGCCCCCCCCCCCACCCAGAAGAGTGTTGCTTAGATAATTACAGCAGAGTAGAAAGCAGCCACTGTTGTCCTGCTGACAAAAACCAAAGGCACAGGAACAATAAATGAAGTCTGAGCAGCCTTGTTCAGTGACTCCGGTGCTGTTTTTTTTTTAGCACAGTAGGGTTGACGGTATGCACTGGGGCCTCCCTCTGACATCAGCTGAGTAGGAAAACCCAGATTCCCGGTGTTATTTATGGGAATGCCGCTGCAGCTACTGCTCAGTCAGCCCTCCCACCTCTCAGTTAATGTTAGTTATCGGTCTTTGGTTCGCGTTTGTTTTCATTTACGGGGTGTTTCCTCATGCATATGACTATTTCTGTGGGTCTTTTGAATGGTTTTTGGATATTTTCCCATCAGTCTAATTTCTTTTCTTTTTTAAAAGATCTTTCTCTGAAGTGGTTTTGGTAGAATGACGCTGAGCATCCATCATGCTTTGGGAGCCAGTTTTTTTTCCAACTATCCTCATCTCCACTTGCAGTCTTTATGTAGCTGCAGGTAAAAACTGTTGTGTGTAATTATTTAGAGATTATTTTTGAATTTTTTAACATCCTTAGCTCAGGTTGCATGTGTCCTCAGCTGTTCACTCTTAGAATATGAATAAATTAACACGTTTCTAAGCTGATATGTGGGAATCAAGGTGCTTCATTTGCTTGGTGGTGTAGTGTCAAAAGGAAGTGAAATATTTCTAAAACATTTTAAGCATCCCATTTTGATGATCTCTGGATTCTGGGCTGAAATCTTGCTGCAGCATCAGGAAAGGCCCCTTTTAACCATTCCCTGTCCGGTTTTCTGTATTGTATGCAAAGAGTTGCCGGAGTAGAATCATATGTTCAAAAACCCGTCGATCAGTGAAGCTAACAGTTTGTTAGCCTGATTGCGTTTGTACCGTGTTTTGTTTGTGTTTGCTGAAGTCAGTCCTAGACAAGATGGCAGACTGACTTTTTTTCATAGCTGGAGCCATTTTCTCTTCGTATAAACATGACTTCCATGAGGATTTTATTTAAGAACCCATCTGGCACGTCAGGTTAAACCTGACTGGGTTACAGTTGCAACTGCAACTCCCCCCTAAAAGAAACCACCACTGGTCCGAGTGTGACATTTTGCACGCGCCGTCCAGCCGCCCGGTGTTATCGTTCTGACAGCAGGTCCGGCTGTGATTTCCCGGGCTTTCACTCCACACCTTTAGACGCCGCTTCGGAACTGACCCCACGGTACCCGCTCCCAAATGTCAAACCTGACCACAGGAGCTTTGAGGCGCCACGGCAGCCGAGCACAGCCGCGAAAAGCAGAGCGCGTTTCCCTTGTTTTCAATTATTTATTGATGTGCCGGATTCTTTCTGGATCATCAATGCCAGTCCCTGGAGCCCGAGTGCAAACTGTGCTGTGAGCAGCGTGCTGCGTTTTTCCTCTGACAGCCCGTGAACTCTGTCAGGAGGCTTTAGTTTGACAGATGGAGAACCTTAGGCTGAGACTTAGTGTGTGGCTCTTTTAAAAGAGGGAGGTATTGAGGCAATCATTCCTCAAACTGGAGTATTTTTGGACCACACAATCAAACTGGATTTTAAAAAAAAGGGAGAGTGTGCAGCTTTGAACTTTCACAATTAGACGAACGAGGGAATACGTTTCTCTGGGACGTCATGCCTTTCTAAACGTCAGCGCAAAATATCTACAACTGTACTGCTGATCCACTGATCATCAGGATGCGAGAGTCACTCCCCGTCTAATATTCGGAAAACGTTTCTACTGACCTTCTTTGGGGCCGTGTTCCTGCTGTGCATGCAGAGCTTGAACTGGGTCAATCAGATTTGAATGGGTTAGGGTTAGGTGGGGTTAGGCTTTTGCCTCTGTGGACACAGATCCTGTGTTGTAATATTTAAAGGAATCCTCAGGACATTGGAGATATTTGAGATGAACTACACACACATTATGATCCTTTTTTTTAGCTTTTAAACACACAGACGAGCCGATAATGGTCACTCATAAGAGATAAGAGAACTTCTTGAGTCATGTTGCTTGTCACATTTATTTGATATCTAGCACACACACACACACACACACACACACAGAAGCCAGCGCACATTCACCTACACTGACGTTGTAGATTCTCTTCAACTCCTTTGAATATTGAATTGGAAAATGGGGGCTAAAAGTGGGATGGAATGAGTGCTCGTGTGTTGGAGTGCTCCGCTGCAAGAGGCATGATGTGCGTATTTTCATTTCAAGGCAGCAATTTTCCACTCAAGACTGTGTGGGCATATATGTAGTGTATGACTAACTAAATGGACGGTGAATCAGAAGGCGTGTGAATGGGAGTGTGCGAGTTCACTTCTTCGCTGGAGTGCATATGTACTACAGGAGCTGTGTAGGAGATGGATTTGGGCTCTGAGGGCAATGTGCTGGACTAATGACCAAAGCTGCCACTGTTTTTTTTTACACTATGTTATTGTGTCGCATTTAATTAATAGGATTTTGGCATTCTTATGTTTACACCCCCCTAGCCTCCGCATTGAATAAGGCGTAAGGGTCTCATGTTTTTCAAAAATGTATCTTGCAGGTGATTTGGTGTCCCGGGCCATGCATCACCTCCAGCCTCTGCACATTAAGAACCCAAGCAACGGGACTCCAGTCCACCAGAAGACCAACACCACGGTGCACTGGGAGCCCGAGGCCCTCTACACGTTGTGTTACTTCATGCACTGCCCACAGATGGAGTGGGAGAACCCCAATGTCGAGCCCTCCAAAGTCACCTTACAGACTGAAAGGTGAGTCCATTAGCATGCGATGTGTGAGAAAAAAGAATAGCCATTGTCAAGAAGTCTTTGCCAGCAAATCCACCTCAAAGAAATAAAGAGCCAAATCGGATGCCAATAACAACACATGAGGATCAGGCGCTGAATTCTATAGAGGTCTATAAAATCCATCCGTCCTTTCATTGTCCGTACCGCTTCTTGCTAGTAGGGTCCTGGGGGATAGGAGCCTATCCCAGAAGACACTGGGCAGGTCGGCAGTCCGTCACAGGGCCACGCGTAGACAAACAAGCCCAGTACTCACATTCCCTCCTAGGGGCAATTTAGAGTCTTCGATTTCCATAAAATCCCACTAAAGGAAAAGAATCCAAGTCTGACTGAAGTCATTGAAATCTCGCACTGCTCCTTTTACATCCCATTAAGGATTACTCCGAGAATGGGATCGCCCCATTCTTCTATAGACAATGCGGTAATCTCTGGAAATAATGGCGTCGCGTGGCTGCTTTTCCCATCACGCCGGGGCTATTCTCGCCGCCATTGTTGACTAATTCTAATGTACTGTTTGGATGCAGCCAGTTCCTGGGTGTCTGTGCCAGCACAATCTCATTTGTACTTCTCTCCTTCATGATGCGAGAGTATAGGAAGACGTTTCCGGTTTAAACCAGTCTAAAGCGGGCTCTTGTCAGGGTTCACAACCAGGGTACAGGTGGTATACTCTGGAGCTGGATGTTCCAGCTGTTTTCTTCATAATTATAGCCACTGTTTGGTACATATACATATTTTTCTCTCAGAAACGCCTACGTAAAATATAGTCTTGTTATAGCTGTGCTCAATTATTATAGTTGTTACATTTACATGGCCACGAAGAGATGTTTTTTCTTCCTGATCGTTTGATTTTACTTGTAATTCTTGCGGGATAAATGGGATGTCCGAGTTTATTTGTGCTTTCAGCAGAGTAGCAGCAGCGCCGATAAAGAATTTCTTTCTGCCAGCAAAGCACACTTATTGCACTTACTTATACCCCCTCAGGGCAGATTGGAGCTTATTATAGCTTTTTGCTGTGACCCTGGGCCTCTCTCCACAGAGTGTCTCTGCCCGACATCTCTCCACTTTTTCTGAGGACCTGTTGAGATCTGGAGCTGGTGGGCATCCTGGGGAGAGTACAAAGCTTGCACACTGGTGTAAATGTACCTCAAACGGAGGGAAATTATATCCAAACTCAATTGCTCGGACCACATTGAGAGGTGGCCCAGGGTACATTTCTTCCAATTTCTTTATTAGCCTGAACAGAATGCTTTCTGGGGAATCGTTCCGATGTGCCACCATTCAATCACCACAGTCCCAGCTATGATTTTTTCTATAAAAAAAACCCATTCTGTCAAGGGTAGCATCGAAATCAGGAGCAGTTGCTGGCAAATTTGAAATGACGCAATATCAATCTGATGGACTTTACTAAAAAGCTTATTATTGGGTAAAATGACATGGCCGCTCCACTGCTGAGCTGTATATAAATCATTTATTTCCCACTCCTTTACCCATCTCGTTTTCCCTCTCTTGCATAATTAAGTCCGTTTAAAAACTTTTAAAACATTTTTTTGCCGTGCAATACAACTCCGGGGCCTCTGAAACATGCTCAGGTGTGAACGGTCCGAGTGCCGACCGTTTAAGGTGAATGGGATTTCACAGAAACGACAGCAGACCTTCCGATGGCCGACTGTGACGCAGACCGCACCTTCATTTGCATGCAGAGCGGGCCAGATGAGATCTGATCACGAGTGGTTTACTCAGAACTCATTCATGGCCTCCTTGTAATGCCACCTGAGCTGGGCCACTTGTGTTGGATCGCCCGGTAACTGTTGCCATGCACTCGGAAGAGGACTTGGTAAGTACAGTGGTGCGTGAAGGTCAGCCGGAAAAATGTCAACCTTTATGGTTTTACTATTCAAACGTGGTCCCGGCGAGTAGAGCTCTGCAGCCGTGAGCGCCTCCAACCAGCTGCCTGGCACTCCGGAAACCTGCATTAATGATGGAAGGCGATAAGAGGATAGCAAAGTGTTTTCAGGGAGCAGCTGCCTTCTTAAAAAAGTCCACTTCAACAATGTTGTCTAGACTTAACTTTTTCTCTCGTTTCAAGAATTTCATGTCGTACACATATTAAATATAATATATTTGAACAGTTCCCTAAAATATGATTGGTCAGGTTGACAAATATAGAAGGTTTACCTATAGATCAGAGAAAGGTTGAATATTTGGGTGAAGTGGGCTTCACTGAATGAAAAAAAAAACCCAAAGCAAATGCTTTACCCGCAATATGTTGCCACTAATATATCTTTCCACCTATTTTCCCGCCGTCACATCAGTCGGGGGTATATATTCTGACATTCCCGCCGGTTTATTTTGCCCCGTAAGCAGTCTCGCAAGGAGCCGCCCGCCCGTGCCAGTCAGCGCTGACACGTCCCCGAGAAACCGGAGGAGATTGATGGTAACCACGGGGACTTCACTGGAACGGGCAGATATTTCAACATCTTTTTCTCCTCTCCACAAAGATAGAGCTCCCCTCCCCGACGACCCCGGGGAGCAGCGAGGAGTGTCAGGCTGAGTGACATGTCAGCAAACCCTCGGGTCCCCGGAGGGGGAGGCTCTTATTTAGCATTCAGAACCTGAATACCGCTGCGGGATCAGACGGAGACGGAGCATGATATAAATGATGCCAAATGATATAACATGCACTTTTTTTGCGTTGCTTTGTGGCTTAGAAAACACAGTTAAGTGCCGCGAAGACTTTGAAGACTCACTTTTTGAGCGTCTAAATGATGCAGGATTGCTTTATTAGTAATGGATTTTTTTTTTTTTGTGCTGCTGCAGGCGTGCAGTATGTATCAATGGATACACACGGCATACCCTGTGTTTTCATTCCAGACCGGGCCTCCCTCTATTTAAAGCCTTCAGCTCTGAATGTGTCTTTAGGGAAGCAAACATCGGTTAGAGTTCAGGCTAAGAGAAAAAAAAAAAAAGCGGCCAGCCAGCTGCCAAACAGAGGGGAAGACCTCGCCTTAAAGCTCTGCTCCCATCGGGACGTCCGTCTGAAGAGAGGGACGGCTTTGTTTGCGGAAAACGAGCAAAAATGGATGACAGTCAAACACTGTGTCAACATCTAAAAGCCACTGCCTTGATTAAATATGTGCGCCCAGCCAAAGTACAGAGGGACCAGGCAGCTGCATTAACGGTAAACAAAACAGTCCCAGATGGATCGTCTCGGTTGAGTGTGCTCTCGTGTTGAAATTTCTCTTCTGTTTTTTTTTTTTTGTTGAGAAATTATAGTTGCCAGAGGATCATAATGGAGAAAAGCTCTGAAGGGACCTTTACTAATGGATTCATAATATAATTTAACTGACTAGAACATGAACTCAATCCATTTCATTAAATGTTTTAAGGTTTTATTATGTTCATCTGAGACTACTTCAAGGCTTTAAAAGCCTTGAAAGAAAATAGTCTGGTTTACTATCGTATAAACCGGCATCTGGTGAGGCAGGATTACTCATAACTGTTATAATTAATGATATCTTGTGGTACCCTGAATAGTTTATAAAGGTGTAATCATGGTGGGGGGAGCAGAAATAGACCGAAAGAATAAAGTGTAGGATCGGTAAAGAATAAAAGCAGTGAATAAAATAAAATATAAGCGATGGCTGATTGTGTTTTATTGTTCCCCTTGTTGTCATTTGCGCAATCGGGCTCGCAGCAAATGGACCATTTAACAGTCCCAAACGGATGTTCTGAGCTGATGTGTGAGCAGGATTTATGTGCTCACGAACATTATGATAAACTCTGAACTCTATCCAGTCCAAGAAAAAAAAAATGCAAGGAGTCTGTTTGATCCTATAATCAGCTCCAGCACTCTACAAGTGTTCCCCTTCCTCTGATTTCAAACCATTTCCTGATGCCCGGTGAAGTACAAAATTTTTTAACGCTGCAGGAACTCAGTGAGCCACGCCTCGCTTGGACTAAAAACGGGTCAAATTAGGGGCCAAAAGCTCTCTTTTTCACGGGCTCCCCTCGAGTGTTTTGTGGGCCAGGTGTTGCCGGAACAAATCTATTTGGACCGTGTCGGTCAGATCTTTCACCGACTCAAGATTATGTATGGATTGACGAATCCAAGGAAGTCATCGTTCTCTGAACCCAGCAGTCAAAACTGCGCATTTTGACAGAACATTTTACGACAGCAAGAGACATCCCGCTCAGTTTAGCTCGCCAGCTAAAAGCGGAGTGGACAAAAAGCCTTTTCTGTGCCCATCTTTAGGCCCATCTGTGTCCATAGTGATGATGGTTACACTGGACTCGTGATGATAACATCATTTTGTGGATTTGACTCCAATTTGAGGTGTGAGTGCAGTGAAGGGACACAGCCACAAAACTGATAGGAGCCAAAATTGGGATTTTCTATTATGTCGGCCTATTTCGCGCATTTTACATTAGCGATAGTCATGTCTTGCTTTCTTAAATATTTTTAGCCCAGATAGATGTCCAGCTCTACCAAACACGCTCCATCGCCATTGCAAAGGTTAGATTAGACCCACACAGGTCCTCTCTTCAGTAATTCCTCTTAGACATAAAGATACTATCTCCAAATTCTTCAAAGGTTTCGATAAGAGACGGCAGTCAGGGTTTACGCTCTATTTTTTCTGTCTCTTTGGGTTTTTCTCTTTTTTTGGGTTTCTTTTCAGTGCTCAGGGGCACTTCTAGGAATGACTTAACACTATGTGGGATTTCCTTACACACTTAATAGTTCCCCGAGTCTGTGACGGTTCTGGCTGCAGTCAGCTGTGGTGCTTATTGCCTAGAGATGTGAAGCCTTTACCCCTTGAGGAGGTGGAAGCTTCAGCAGGAGAGGCTCTGAATCACAACGGTTCCGAGGCGAGCCATGGTTCCAAATCCACCCACCGAAGTAGGGGTTAGATGGCGTATTTCGGGATATTCAACACGATTTGTTTTCTTGGAAAAGTATGGGTTTTTTTCGTCATTATCACAATCCCCAGTGAGACTGTGTGGCATTTACATAGCATTTTTGCTTGTAAAAGCTTTTTTTCTGGTATGCTTTAAAGCAAAAACAGAACACTGAAAAAAATTCGGAGGTAAACAAGATTTTGGAAGTTCAACTTTACGGTCTGGTTTTACTTTCGCTTCAACAACAGGACTTGCTAATTCAACAAGCATGCTTCATCTTTTTGCTCCAGTATCTCTAAACATCTGTTGAAATTTTCTGTTTAAGATGAGATGGTACTCAGAAAGGTCTTGAAAGCTTTCTAATCTACCTGACAGCCATTCAGGGAAAATATTCTCCCTGTCTGATGTCAACAAACTATTTTAAAGCCATTTTAAGTCGGTGTTCCTCCATAAGGATGCAGCAGCCTGCTTTGATTGTGAAGCAGTTGTTGGCCTGAATTTAGATGCTTTTGCATTGCAGGGGGAGAGGGCCGGGGGGGGGGGGGGGAGAATAAATGAGAAGACAGCACAGAATCGGTGTATTCATGTAGGAGAAAATGAACACACAAACGCCCTTTTGAAAGGGATCATGAAATATGAACTTTTGAGCCAGGCTATTGGTTATTTTGATTGAAGAGGGTAATTACTGTGTTTAGAGAGGCAGCGGTATCTGACTGTCCACGCAATAAATGATCAGCGTTGGTTCAGGGGAGCTTCCTTTCCATATCTCATTTGGGCGGGGGGTATTTGATGACAAAGTTTGCATCTGTGACTCTTGTCTTAGTCTATATTAGGTCATTTAATTTGAAGAGGAAAGTAAAGCGCTCCAAAAATGATGGCATCTTGTGTGGTGGTTACATAATTAGGTTAAAAAATTCAACTTCAAAGCCCAAAGAAAACTATTTTATACACTTATATGCCCTGAACTATCAATTATTATTTCTGATCATTTCAATAGATACCAAAATAAACCATTTTGCCCAGAATAAGCCTGAAACAAGTCAAGCTGACGTCTTAGTTTTCGTTTCATCTCGGTCTTATGTTTTTCGTTGTTTTTTTTCTGCTCACATCTCTTATGTTTCTCCTTCCCTTTTTGTTCTGTTTTCCTTTGCTCATCTCCCTTCCCCCTTTACACGCGGATTATGTCGTTCACTCGTCCTGTTTTGATCTCTTTCCTGAGTGTGACTTTCCGTCTGGATCTTTGCCGCTCCTCAGATTGCCTGCGTCGCCCTCATTATTTACCTGTGTCTGGCTGGTTCTCTGTGGAGTTCTTGCTCTTGGTGGCGTGCAAGCTGGATAGAAATGATGTCAACAGAGGAACAAATCTCCTCGGTGGTCGGGGGAAATGTTTGCCAGCAGCATGGAACTGTGGATTCATTCATTTACAGAAAAATACGCTGCAAAGATAAAACAGACATAAATGTTACCTAACACCAAGACTGAAAGCAACATACTATTTGGCTACTTTTTTCCATCCATTTCAGCTGTGAAATTAACGCATAATTACTTGTATCGATCGTACATCAGTGAGTGGCGCATTAGTCGTCCTCGCCACGGAATCTGAGCAAGGCATCCTACGTTTTTGCCAGCTGGAACACAGAGTTTACATGATGTTCAAACGTCTGTGCGCAACTAGCAAGGGCCTCCATGGGAACAGTGCAAACTCAGTGCCTGTTTCTTCTTTTCTTCCCTTCGTTCCTTTCCTGGTTTTCCATCAGCAAACTCCAGGATTCTTTTGGATGTTTTGATCTATCTATCTATCTATCTATCTATCTATCTATCTATCTATCTATC